TGGGCCAACCTCACTACTGCTGCCACACTTGAGTCCATCAATGATGCCACCTGGCCAATCCATCTCGTTAGGGGTCTTCCTCTTTTTCTCTGACCCTTCACCTTACCCAGCATGACATCCTTCTCCAGCGACTGTTTCCTCCGGACAATATGACTATAATTGTGAAAAACTTTACACACTACAGAAATACATTAACAAGTTTGTAGAAACAACCAACTTTTTAAATACAATTATGTGATTTGTTGTTGTTAAGTGCTGTCGAATTGGTTCTGAACCATAACGATCCTGTATACGGTTTCCAAGGAGCAGCTGGTGAGCTTGAACCACCAACCTTACAGTTCAAATTGCTTTGCAGTCTGGCACATTAACCCACAGTGCCACACCAGGACTCCAGTGTTTTTGAACAAGTTATAATATAATGTTAACATTATATTATATATATGTCTTTGTATTAACAATTGTAATATGTACTATTGTAAAGCTTCAGCATCTTTAAAAAATTAAATATCACAGATAAACTTGCTGCCTCTTTCAATTTTTTCCTCAGTTCTGATGTCAGTGTTGCATGGTCATGATTCCTATCCTAACTACCTAGTAACCTGATGGTCAAAGCCCCACAACCAATCATGTATGTTTTTTCAATCTGCAATTGTGTACACATCTCAGTCGTGGATCTTTTTTGCTTTTATAGTCGTCCCTTCATAGTAATAAATTGATCTGCAGCCAATCATGATTTTGTGATGATTTCCTTTGTTTTCCATAGTTTATAATGAGCCGCATGGCAGTGAATCCAGTGAACTCCATTTTTACATCAATTGCTTCCCTAACCTGGATATTGCCTTTGACCTGTTTAAGATTTATTAGAGCATGCTTATAGGATATGCTTATAGGGAGAAATGTGGCTCTGTAAGAGAACACTGGACTCACAAAGTATGTGCTTTGAGTCTACCAACTGCTCTGTTCAGCAGGAGAAAAATGAGGCTTTCTATTTCCAGAGAGATTTATTGCCTTGGAAACCCTATATAGGGTTGCTATGAATTGTAAGCAATTCAATGGCACTTAACAATATAGAAGATGTTTGTCTTTGTTTTGTCTTGTTTTTTTTTTTTTTTTAACTTTAGAACAGCTGTAATCTTTATGGAAACATAGCTAGGCTCCTCTTCTATGCTTACAAACAAGAAATCATAGATGAGAAAGTTTAGGGATAGAATCAGAAGATATAGACTTCAGATATAAAAAAATGCCATAATTGTGAAACAACATTCACAGATTCCATTAGAGAAATCAAACTAAAAACATAATCCACTCCAAACCCAGAAAGTCTCTACACAAAATTGTTGTTGTTGTTAGGTGCCATTCAGTCAGTTCTGACCCATACCAACCCTATGCACAACAGAACAAAACACTGCCTGGTCCTGTATAATCCTGATAAATGTTTTGTTTGAGCCCATTGCTGCTGCCACTATGCCAATCCATCTTGTTTGGGGACTCCTCTTTTCTGCTGACATTCCATTTTACCAAGCATGATGTCATTCTCCAGTGAGTGGTCCCTCCTGATAACATTTCTGAAGTATGAAAGATGAAGTCTTGCCATCCTGGCTTCTAAGGAACATTCTGCTGCACTTCTTACAACAGAGATTTGTTTGTTCTTCTGGCAGTCCATGGTGCTTTTAATATTCTTCTCCACTGCCATCACACAATGCATCAATTCTTCAATGGTCTTCCTTATTCATTGTCCAACTTTCACACTCTTCTGAGGCAATTGAAAATACTATGGCTTGGGTCAGAAGCACCTTATTTCTCAAACTGATATCTTTGGTCATGAACACTTTAAAGAGATCTTGTGCAGTAAATTTGCCTAATGAAATACATCATTTGATTTCTTGGCTAATACTTCCATGAATGTTGATTATGAATTCAAGTAAAATATAGTATTTGACAACTTCAATCTTTTCTCCATTTATCATGTTGTTATTTATTAGAACAGTTGTGAGAATTTTTGTTTTCTTTATATCAAGGTGCAATTCATGTTGAAAGCTGTAGTATTTGATCTTCATCAGTAAATATTTTAAAGTTCTCTTACCTTTCAGGAAGCAAAGTTGTACCATCTACCCATTGCGAGTTGTTAATGAGTCTTTCTCTAATCCTGATGTCATGTCCTTCATATAATCCAATTGCTTAACCTACAGATCGAATAAATATGGTAAAAAGACACAACATTGGTGTACACTTCTCCTGGTTTTAAACCATTCAGTGTCCCCTTGTTCTGTTGGAACAATTGCCTCATGGTCTATGCACAAGTTCTCCATGAGCACAGTTAAGTGTTCTGGAATGTCCATTCTTCACTATGCTATCCATTATTTGTCATGATACAATTGAAAGCCTTTGCATAATCAATAAAGCACAAGTAAACATATTTCTGGTATTCTAGGCTTTTCAATTTGATATTCCTGGTATAGTAAACCATATGAATGCCTGATTCAAAATGGCCATTTCTGGTAGATTTCAGCTCACTAATGCCAGGATATCAATTTTTAAATGTTTCATTTCATTTTGACAACTTCAAATTTTCCTAGATTCATACTTCTTACATTCCAAAATCTGATTATTTATGTGTGTTTTCAGCTATTTTCCCTCATTTTGATTTGTGCCCTATCAGTAAAGGAAAGTTCCGAACAGGTTACTCCATTCATGTCATTATTGAAAACTACACTTTGAGGAAACAACTGTTCTCCAGTCATATTTTTAGTGGACTCTTCTTCCGGCACTATTTCTGACCATGTTCTACTACTATTCATAATGTTTTCATCTTCTGGTTCTATTTCTGACACTGTTACGTTGCTATTCATAATGTTTAATTGTCTAAATATTCAGAAGTAGTCATCGTCCCTTCTTCCTAGTCTTTGTCTGGAAGCACCTCTTCAACTTCTTCACCTGCTGTTGTTTTACATACTGGTGGCTTAGTTTCCATGGCAGCATGCAAGCAAGCCATGGCAGTACTACAGACTGCTAGAGTTAACCTAAAGCCTATAACAGGTGCTGGACTAATGAAAGGATATACTCAAAAATTGAACAAACTTCTAACAGGAGATCTTTCATATAATGTCTTGTTCTTTTTTGAGAGCAGACTATCAACCAAAGACCTAGAAAAGAATGTAAACATTATTTCAATATTTGGCTGGACATGTACATATGGTTTAATCTGAGACCTAAGCAGACATCCTGTTCTGCATTCATCTTTCCTCAGGATCCTCGTCTAGGCCAGCACACAGAGTGAGAAAGTTTTTTTTCTTCAGAATGTTAGCCTCCTGTGCTATGGTTATCTTGTCCTGCAGTGGAACATGTTCTGAGAAGGAAGAAACATATTATGTGGAAGTTTGAAGTTAGTATCTTAGAAAATAGAAGGTACCCACTAAGTACCTTGAGTCTCTGGATTCTTGGTTCTGGTCTGGCCTCCAGAGGGCGATGCTGCACAAGCTGGAGATTGTGTTTCTTTTGAAGATCAGCCTCATTGGCCCAGCCTCTCTTTCCTACAACCAAGTGAAGAGTTTTCACTGTATTCTTTGCTGTCAACCACAAGTGACTGTAATTAGTGGTCAGAACTCATCTAGGTTCACAACAGTAGGGTTAGCATTTTTATCTAAGCAAAGAATGTGTGCAGCTTAAACTTCCAACTGCGCCTATTTTTAAGAGTTTAGATTGTGCAGCCACTTTCTTGCCTGCTCAAGGAAGATCTTCCAGAAAAGAGCTTGTGTGTCTCTACTGCTTAGTTATGCTTTTGCCTCCCATCTTACTGCTGGGGGTGATTTTTGCTCTGAGTGAGTGTAATTTCATTATGGTTGCTAGTTTCATAGACTCTGATAGAAAATACTTTTCACAGTGGAGTCTGCAATGCTGTTACTAATATAAAACTGATTTTTCAGGAGAGGCAAGAGCACAGTCGGTGACCCAGCCTGATGTCCAAGTCTCTGTCACTGAAGGATTGCCACTGGAGTTGAAGTGCAACTATTCCATTCGTGGAGCACCTTCTCTCTTCTGGTATGTCAAGCACCCCAACGAAGGTCTTCAGCTGCTCCTCAAGTACCTTTCAGGGAACACCCTGGTTAAAGGCAGCAAAGATTTTGAGGCTGAATTTAAAAAAAGTGAATCTTCCTTCAACCTGAGGAAACGCTCTGCTCATTGGGATGACTCAGCTGAGTACTTCTGTGCTGTGAATGACACAGTGCTTTAGACTGCAGGGGGAGCTGAACACAAACTTCCTGAGCCAGCGTGGAGGCTTAATCCACAAAGGGACCTTGTCTTAGTCCAGGAAATAACTACATCTTCAAGAATTTGAGTTCTGACACAGTTGGGGCCATGTACAGAGAGAGTTGTGGAGCCAGTATGGAACTGGAAAACCTTAAATGGTTGGACATAAGAATTGTGACAACACTCCACAGAGCTTTGTTTTTCATTCACCATTTTATCTTCAAATAATCCAAAGCAAAATTGAGCATCTCCTGTAGGTTTCTCTCCTTCTTACAGATCTACTGTCTTTCCAAATTTTTAATTTTGAAAAGGTCTTCCTATATTCTTTCTTCATAGTTCTACAATGTGATTGTTATTTTCCATGTCCCCATTTAGAAGGGAGGAGATTCTTGGGATGGTGAATGACTTAGAACATGGAATACTTATGAAATTTTAGTAATTTGTTACAAGTATTTCAGAAGGAGGAACGAATGATTCAAATTTCTTCATACTTCTTTAAGGACAAAAGGATAAATCCTAAATTAAGATGTCAAATTCCTATGATTTTGAGATTTTATTTGTTTTATTTTTTCCCATGATAAAAATGGGCTCTTTTTTTAAAATTTATTTATTTTTATTGTATCTTGTTATTGTTTTTTTTGTTATGGGCTGTTGAGTCAGTTCTGACTCACATCGACCCTGTATAGGTTTTCTGAGGAGTTGCTGGTAAGTTTGAACCACTGACCTTTCAGTTCAAACCAAACCAACCTTGAGTTTCAGTGTCTATCCTACAGTGCCACACCAGGACTTCTCTGATTAGGATTAACAAATAAATGTACAAGAATAATTTATACATCAAGTGTCTATATTCTGGATATATAAAATACAGATAGCAGTCCTGGTGTTGCACTGCATCTTAATGGTGCTACTTACCAGGCACTA